CCTTTGAGTATATATACCACATTTTCTTTATCTATTCATCTATTGAGGGACACCTAGGTTGGTTCCATAGTCTAGCTATTATTAATTGAGCTGCTATAAACATTGATGTGGCTGCATCACTATAGTGTGCTGATTTTAAGTCCTTTGGGTATAAACCAAGGAGTGGGATAGCTGGGTCAAATAGTGGTTCCATTCCCAGTTTTTTGAGGAATCTCCATACTGCTTTTCATAGTGGTTACACCAATTTGCTGTCCCATCAGGAATGTAKGAGTGTGCCTTTTCCCCCACATCCTTGCCAACACTTGTTGTTTGTCTTTATGATAGCTGCCATTCTGACTGGAGTGAGATGAAATCTTAGAGTAGTTTTGATTTACATTTCTCTAATAGCTAGAGATGTTGAACCTTTATTCATATATTTGTTGATCAATTGTATTTCTTCTTCTGTGAGGTGCCTGTTCAGTTCCTTAGCGCATTTATTGTTTTCATTCTTGAGTGGTATTTTCACTGAATGTAGAATTCTGGTTTTTCAGATTTGTTCTTTACAGGTGCTTCCAACTTTCTTCAAGGTCTCTGTCCCCTAAATACATCCATTCCCTAAATGCTGGAACCAGGGAAAATCTCTCACCATGTTGGGAGAAGAGCCTTTTCAGATGGAAAAATTCACCTGAATTATTAGGTTGGGCCCAATCTAACCACAAAAGTCCTGAAGCTAGAGAACTCTCTCCAGTTAGAGGCTGGGGAGATGAGGCAGAAGGTCAAGTTAGGGAGATGAACTGAGAGCAAGGCAGGACCCACCAGTGCCAGGTGTGAAGAAGGAGGAAGGGACCATGAATCAGAGTGCTGTAGCCTCTGAACCTGAGGATGACCTCAGTCCTACAGCCACATGGGAGTGGACTCTACCTACAGCTTGGAGAAGCTTCAAAGTGGATTTAGCCTAGAGGTTCCAGAAAGAAAGGCAGCCCTGATGACTGTTTTATTATATCCTTCTAAGATGCTAAGCAGAGAGCTCAGCTGAGCCACTCTGTACCTGGACTTCTTTTACTGTGAAATAATAAGTGGGTGTCATTTTAAACCTTTAATTAAGATAATTTGTTATGACAATAATAGAAGATTAATAGATTCTGATGAGTCAAAGATATTTCTGTYGGTTGTGTTAATTGTTCACCACTATGTAATATATCACTTTGCATTTAGAGCTTTTTCTCTTTGTCTTTTAGCATTTTGATTATGAAGTGCCTTAGTGCAGTTATTTCTGCTTATTCTGCTTCACATTCATCTTTAGATGTCGATTCATGTCTTTCCTACAGTTTGGGAAACATCTTGATCATGATTTTTCTTCAAATATGTTTTTTTCTTCTGTACCATTTTAACCCTACAGCTAGTCTTCCAATTAATATATCTCTAGGTATTGGAAGCTTTTTATTGTTATTGTTCATATTAAAAGAAATCTTTTCTCTGTTTTTTCACTTTTTTTTTTTTTGTACTGGAGATTTAAACCAAGAGCAGTTTACCACTGAGCCACATCCCTTTTTAATTTAAGACAGAGTCTCACTAAGTTGTTTAGGGTCTTACTAAGTTGCTGAGTCTGGCCTTGAACTCTGGATCCTCCTGCCTTAGCCTYCTGAGTCACTGGGATTATAGGAATGTGCCACTGTGCCTAGCTTGAATAATTTCTATGGATTTATCTTTACATATATTTACTCTTTCCGCTATCATGTCCACTTGGCTATTAAGTCCATCTAGTTTAATTTCAATTTTTTTTTTTTTTTAGAATTTCAAGTTGGTTCTTTTTTATTGTTCCTGTTTCTCTCCTGAGATTTCCCACTTTTTGTGCTGAGATTGTTAGTTCACATCTGGTTCATTTAGGGGGTGGATTTGATTGATTTTATTGTATCTTAAGAATATGTTTGATAGATACATAATCTTCATGTGCTGAGTAATTTGGATTGTGCCATGGACAGTATGGATGCTAAACTATGGGTATTCTAGATTCTATTCTTTCTGCTGAGTGTTTCTCCCTGGTTTCCATATGTAGTGTTCTGGGGTAGTGTTCTGGGACCACCACACCTCTGTTCCTTGTGTGGCAGCTCCACTCTCAGTTCAGACTCAGCAGCTGGCTTCTTGGAGTCTGTTCCCCACATTTTGATGTGGGCAGAGAGAAGTTGGTGATCCCCTCTCTGGCTCTTTCTAGTCTGAGGTTTCGCCTTTCTTTTCTGTGTTCTCAATTTCCCAACTTCAGACTACTCGTTCTCCAGGCCACCAAGATTTTGAGTTATTCTATGTACACCCCACCACCGTGTATGCCACCCATTGTGGAGGAGAATTAGCTACCTGTGCCATCGAATTTTATGTATTGATATTACTTTGTTCATCAAAACCCCAATTATAAGAGGTTTAGGTTTTTGAATACAGTCGAATACACATAACATTTTGGTCAAGGATGGAACAGATACTTAACAGTGGTCCCATTTGATTGTACCCCTAGGGACCTCATAGTCACCTTAATTAGTGTAAGTAAACTCTGTGATGCTCACACAACGAGAAACAGCCTAACAATGCACTTCATCATTAAGTGCTATATGACTATCTTACAAATTATGCTGAGGAACAACTATGTGTCCTTATATATGTGAACAATTGTTCAATTATTTTTTATTAGAATTACTGAAAAGTATATGCTGTTTTAAGATTTTTACATGTAATATGTAGGAATGCTTTTTCCCTGGATTTTAAAGAATCACACTTTGTTTTAAAAGTGTTAGCTGGAATAACATACTATCACATTTTTTTTCTTAAAAGAGAGGTTATATATAAACTTCACAGTCTCTTTTGGGTGCTGGGATTGAACACACGGCCTCATGTATGCTAAGTATGTACTCTACTACTGCTACTAAGCCATTCTCTAATACTAAGCCACATCCTCCAGTTTTAGTTTTTAATTGTCTAATTATGATAATTAAATATATTTCTATTTTTCCTTGTTAATTTGAAAAGTTATTTATATAAATAGGTTATTAATTATTTTGTTTCTTAGATATGACATAATAACATAAGCCTTTCCCCCAGTTTACCTATGACTTTTACTAGTTCATGGTATTTTTTTAAATATAAGACTTTCAACCTTTTTTTTTTTTTTTTTTTTTTTTGGTATCAAGGATTGAACCCAGGATGGCTTAACCACTGAGCCACAGCCCCAGCCCTTTTTAATGTTTTATTTAGAGACTGGATCTCATTGAGTTGCCTAGGGCCTTGCTAAATTGCTGAGGCTGACTTTAACTCTCAATCCTCCTTCCTCAGCCTCCGAAGCAGTTGGGATTACAGGGAAGTGCCCCCACACCCAGCTAAGACCCTTAACTTTTCTTTAGCCATATCTATCACTACTATTGCTTAGTGATGAGATTCATAGCTTTGGAGGCAGAGAGAGAAAAGTTCAAATCTTGCATTCACCCATTACTAGTGGCATATTACTTAACCTCTCTCATCCATAAACTTGTTCTAGAAAAGCCAAACCTGTAAGATTAATGTGCAAGGCAATGCATAGAAAATAATGACCCCAGTGCTCGGAAACCAGGGCTTAGTCAACGATTGCTTCTATCATTCTTCCTATAGTTATGATTATTTTCCACTCTACAGTTGTTTCCATGCCTAGAGTTCCTTTCCACCCTGAGGTTGTATAACTATTTACCAACATTTTCTTTAAATACATCTTTGTTTCAATAGTAAATTACTCTTGGCACTGATTTGAAATGTTAATTTTCTCAAATGCATTTTATATATTGATAAACTTAGTGTTTTACTTGTTGTATTTTTGTTGTTGTTGTTGTTTGGGGTACTGTTGTTTGAACCCCTGGGGCGATGGTTCTAAGCTACATTATTTATTTGGGGACACAGTCTACCTAAATTGTCATCCTCCAACCTTGGCCTCCAGAGTAGCTGGGATTACAGTGTGCTACCATTCCTGGCTTACCTAATGTAATTTTTAATGTTCRTTTAAATATATATCACCCTTTTCACCTGCTCATCTTATTCAAATTCCTTTCTCTACACTTCCTCTATACTCTTTCAAAAGAATCTTAGGGTCAGTTGATATTTTTATTGGAGTGGCATAAAATCTATAGACAACATGAAAATGTCAAGCTTTCAATGTGAGAACAATGGTATAGCTCACCACGTAAGTTTCCCTTGGTGATTCCCAGCAAGGTTTAAGGTTCCCCACCCCCCTAACTCTGCACCTAGCTGGTGAAGCCATTTCTCAGCAATCTTACATCGATTTCTGTTGTGTCAGTCCTATATAATTATGTCTTCTGTCTCATTTTCTCTGGTGTTTTAGGAAGTACTCCTATCATCTGCAAATACTGATTCTTCCATTTTTCTTTTATGATCTCATTTCGTTATCGGAAACATCCAGCCCAAGTGTTAAACGGTGCAATACCGGACTGAAAAGATTTCTTGATTCTTTTCACATCCTACAAACTGTAAAGTTGATGAGTTAGGTACTATTTTATTTCCATTTTTGCAGATAAGAAACTGGGGCACATGATGGTGGTTAAGGAATTTTGCTTCAATTCAATTTAGGGCTCAAGCCCGTGAAGTCTGGCTCTCCAGGGTGAAGTGGCCGGTTCTAGAGAGGAAAAAACCTAACCAAGGAGAGGAACAGCACCTGGTCCCCTGGGTCCAACCGCTTCTCCCTGCTCTCGGCCCCAGGAGGCGCCGGCGACTCGACCCCACCTTCCCGCACGGGGGCGCTGTTGGCACGTATCCCGGGGGCCTGGGAACGGACCGCAGGTGTCACCAGGCGGTGGCCGCCAAGTGCGGAGTGGGTGTCGGGCCGTCGGGAGGGGGTGGAGCGGACAGGACGGTCGCGAAGGAACTGTCGGGATGAGGAGTAGATGGGGGAGCCATAAAAAGTGGGGCAGCGGCTCGCGCCGCGCTGGGGCACCCGAGAGCGCGGGGCGGCCGGGGCGATGGGCGGGCGACCCTGAGACGCCCCGAGGGGGACCATGAAGGGCAACGGCAGCGCGCTGCTCAATGCCTCTCAGCAGGTGCCCGGCGGCGCGGAGGGCGCGCGGGTGCGACCCTCGTGGCAGGCCTCCACGCTGGCCTTCATCCTCATCTTCACCATCGTGGTGGACATCCTGGGCAACCTCCTGGTCATCCTGTCGGTGTATCGGAATAAGAAGCTCAGGAACGCAGGTAGGTGGCCCCGGCATCGCCCAGCGCCAGCCCCCTTGCTGGGCACCGTGTCCTAAGGCAGCCCCAAGTAAAGGTCAAAGACATTCTTCCTTCAAAACTGGGGACTTGGGATCATTTTTTTTTTTTTTTTTTTTTTCTGGGTGAAGGCTGTCGGTTTACTTTGTCTTTAACCTGCCCTTCTAAAATGCCTGTTCACAAAACAATCAGAAGTTTCCAATCCTTAAGCAGTAGAAAAGTTTGCCAAAGTCACTCTTCTTTAAACCCATTCTCCAGTTGAACATTTCTGGGGTTTATTAGATGGAGAGGCACCGGGGCCAGGTTGAGAGASTTCCTCCAGACGCCCTTTCAAATGAAATCAATGAACTCATCAGATGCTTGGTTTTACATATAAATTAGTTTTCCCAACTTTGCTAAAATATGAGAAAATATATGACCTGGCAAAATGACAGAGCAACTGTTTTAGCTTTGTTGTCGGGAGTGGTTTTCTGTTATTAGCACATAATTGAATAAAAAAACCCATATGCTCCTAAACTTGCTTTGGAAAGCACTTTGGCTCTTGCCAGTAAATAAGTTTGCATTTTAGAAATAGTTGTAGTAAAGAATACATTTACATGTAATATACGACCAGAGCTAATTTGTGCTTCAGTTAAACTTGCTTTTTCCTCCTGGCAATGAATTGAAATTGGTTTATCCAGGGTAGGAACTAGTGGACAATTTATAAMTAAGCCATGAATTTCGCACCTCTAAATATTGTTGAGATGCTTGATTTACTATCCCTTATTGGGAAGCAGATTTTGGGGAGAAGGGATGGGGGAAATGGCACACTTTAATGTTTCCTCAAAGTGCTATTTTTTTGTTCTAAACCAGATATTGATCAAAGCTCTAATTTTGTTTACTTCCTTTTGAGAAGACCACCCTCCTTTTTGTTGCTTTCTGTAATACTTGGAACAGTGCATGAGTTAAGAATTAGCTAAAAGGGACTTAATAATATGAATTGAATTTGAATTAGTAYTGATCAGCCTGTCTTCACAGATATTTGGCTTAATTTAGAGGAGGTCGGTCTTCAAGAAGGGAGCAGAAGAAGTTCATTGGATTAGACAAAGGGGAATGATGGGAAGGGAGGAGGGATGGGAATAGGARAAAAACAGAATGAATCAGACACAATTTTCCTATGTTCACATACGAATACAACACCAGTGAAACTCCGCATCAYGTACAACCACAAGAATGACATACTAGGCTGGGCGACGTGGCCCATGACTGTAATCCCAGCGGATGGGGACGMGGAAACAGGAGGATCATGAGTTTTCAAAGCCATCCTCAGCAACAGCAAGGAGCTAAGCAATTCAGTGAGCCCCTGTCTCTAAATAAATAGGAAATAGGGCTGGGTTTGTGGTGTGGTGGTCAAGTGCCCCTGAGTTCAATCCCTACTATCAAAAAAAAAAAAAAGGAAAGAAAGAAAGAATGGCATATTACTTAGAATAAGTCATACTCCATATGTGTATAATATTTAAATTTAAAAATATGGTCTACTGTCATGTATATCTAAAAAGAACAAATAAAAAAAATTTTAAAAAAAGAAGGGATCATAGCCCTAGGTGAAAAATCCTAGCCACTCTTGCTAACAAGAGATAACAAGTTCCAGGCCAGCCTGAGCAACTTAATGAGAGACCTGTCTCAAAATAAAAAAAAAAAATAAAAAAKAACTGGGAGTGTATCTCAGTGGTAGARCATCCACAGGTTCAATCCTCAGTACCGGAGGAAAAAAGCAGCTTTCGGGGTAGATTTGGTTCTGAGCCTGTGTTAATAGAATGAATTCTTGGGCCAGCCCAATGGTGGGTGTTATTGTTACCCACTTTACAGAGGAGGAACTAAGAACACACATTGGTCTTATAGACTGGAAGCACTGGGCAGGGTTTAACTCACAGAAGGATTATCTAGAATACAACATGCTTGGTTGGCATCAGTAACTACAGCCCTTGGGAAATTTGAATCCTTTGTGATCTTCATCCAAAAAAATGTTCACGTGCCTGGAACAATTCTGATTCCTGTGTGTTTTACGAAAAATGGGCCTTCCACACTATTGCTCAGCACCTTTTTGAGAGGACCATTTATTTATTTATTTTAATATTTATTTTTTGGTTTTAGGTGGACACAATGTCTTTAAGTGGTGCTGAGGATCGAACCCAGTGCCTCACGTGTGCTAGGCGAGCACTCTACCACTTGAGCCCCAACCCCAGCCCCTTGGCAGGACCATTTATAAAATATTGTATTCTCATATCTGACTGGGAAAACTTTTTCTGTGAAACTTTTGAGCTTTCATATTGTTGTAATTGGAACTTTTTGTTTAAAGGTACTGCTGTTATGGTTCAAATTATTTGAGGCTTTCTAGAATAGATGGTAATTTGAAATAGTGATAGAAGTAGCCGATTCAAATACGAGTTTGGGGATGCTTATTGTATTAGTCAGCTTTTCATTGTTATGACAAAATGCACCCCCCTCCAAAAAAAATAAAAACTTAGAAGAGGAAAGATTCATTTTGGTTCATGGTTTCAGAGGTTTTCATTCCATGGTGGGTTCCATTGCTGTGGCCCTGTAGTGAGGCAGAACATCTTGGAGGAGAGGGCATGATGCAGCAGAGCTGCTCAGCTCATGGTCAGTGGGAAGCTGGGGGGGGGGAGGGGGAAATGGGAGGGGGAGGGGGAGGAAGGGACCAGGGCATGCCCTCATTGACTTACTTCCTCTAAGTAGGTTTCACCTCCAATAGTTTCCACCCCTTCCAATCATGCCATCACATTATGAATTTATCAGTGATTAATCCACTGATGAGGTCAGAGCCCTGATGATCCAATCACTTCCCAAAGCCCCACCTCCGAATACTGCTGCACTGGGGAACCAAGCCTTCAATGTGTGGGCCTTTGGGGACCATTTCACATCCAAACAATTAAACTTATTAAAAGTTCTTACTGGCCCATCTCAGTGGCACCATGACTCTAATCCTAGCTGCAAGGGAGGCTGAGGCAGGAGGATCACAAGTTTAAAGCCAACATCAGCAAAAAGTGAGGCACTAAGCAACTCAGTGAGACCCTGTCTCTAAAGAAAATACAAAATTGGTCTGGGGATGTGGCTCAGTGTTCGAGTGCCCCTGAGTTCAATTCCCAGTACCAAAAAAAAAAAAAAAAAAAAAAGTTTTTATGGTTACTCAGTACTCCCCATTTCAATTAAATTTCTTTTGCTGGCTTTAAGAATGAAAAGATTAAAAAAAGAGGGAGAAAATGGGAAAACAAGATAGGAATTCTAAGGCATCTAAGCTTTGAAAGAATACTTTTTTTTCTTATAAATCTGGTATACTTGTAGAGTTATTTATGTCCCTTCCTCCCCTTAAGGTAGTATGTTGGTGTTTGACCTCCTAAGGAAGAAAATCAAAATATTTAACTGCTTGCCTGGGAAGACATTGGCTAGTCAGATCAGACAGTGTCTAAACAACCACTAAGGTTTAAAGTACTGGCAGGATGTTTGCTTTGATCCTGTCCAAAATCTGATAACTAGAATTGATATTCACATTATATTTTCTGAGTAACTTTTTTAATATACTGGGAGGATCATTGCAGTGGAATACTAAGATTTTATCTTTGCTGTTATCTACCTTCTGATTTGAGAAATCAGTTTTCATCCCAACTTCATGTTCCACTTTTGTCAAATACAAATATTAATTTCATCTTTTAGCCTCACAGGATTGTTGCAGTTACCTACTGAAATGATGCATATGAAAATACTTTGGAAAGGAGAGACTAGGTAATGCCGTGTATTTGAATATTTTTGACTTTTTTTAGCTTGCTAAAAATCAGACTTGTGATTTGCACACTTTTTATATATAAATTATACATACAACTTCTATTAAAGAAAATATAAAGTAAGAATTTTAAAAAATCTTTCCTATTAAAAATTTAATTATCTGGTGATCTAACCTGTGTAGGATACAACCCCAACTTGGAAATTGGCAAAAATAACAGGCTCTTGCCCACAGCCAGTTTGTTCTAAGAGTTCCATAAAAAACTGTGATTTTAAGGTCTAGATCCCTATTGAGGTAAACAGTAAATTAAGAGAAAGATAGGCGTATATTGGCAAACGGCACACTGGAAATAGATTCATTAAAAGCAAGTATAGGGGCTGGAGGTCTCACTGGTAGAGCTTGGGCTTAGTATGGGTGAAGGGCCTCAGTTCAATCCCTTGTGTGTGTGTGTGTGTGTGTGTGTGTGTGTGTGTGTGTGTGTCACACACACACACACACACACATCGTAGTTCTGATGATCTGATCAAACATAACCTTTTGCAGGAGCTCTGAAGAAACAGATAACACCGCTCACTATTTACTGTTCCTGAAACCCTGCAACACAATAGCCTATTTATTAATTATGACTCTGATCCATCTAAGAAAGGTCCAGTTATGTATAGTTTGCTCTGCTTTAGAAGATAAGATCTTAATACATTTTAGGAAAATGCCCATCTTAAGCAATACAAGATTGTTTTTAAAAAATCTGGGTGCACAGCAGAATAAACTGTCAGTAATTGTTAGAAAAAAAAATCCCTTAGAATCACTACAACTAGGTACTTGACACTGCTACGCCATTCTTGTACTTGTTTCTTTCAGGTTTCTACAGAATATGGTCTGTATCCCTTCTGCATTACCCCTCAGAGAGGCTGCACAGAGTATGAAGAAAACATGGATTTGTGGCCTCAGAGATCTGAGTTCCCACCTTGGATGTGCAGGGTTGTTGTAAGATGCTTGTAGGTCCTAGCATGCTTACTTAAAAAATTATTTTAAATTGAAGTATGACTTGCACATAGTAAAGTGCATAAAATTAAAGTCTACAGCTTAATGTATTTCTCCATATGTATACACTTTTCAGAAAGGACTTGGGGAAAAAAAAAGTAGTGAGAAATGGTAGTTCAAATATGCACAACTTGACTAGAATTTATGGCCAAGCCTGAGTTCTGAA